AACATCTTTGTTGGTATGTGGTGCTGAGGATCGAACCCGGGCCACACGCATGCCAGGCGAGCGCGCTACCGCTTGAGCCACATCCCCAGCCCTATTTATCAGTTTAATCCTCAAGAAATTGTTCCTGGAACCTGTCTATTTCAGTCTTAGTTAGTTGCTTTTTGGGCCCCACTGTACATCTTGGGATCTATTTAGTCAACAGCCTAACATTCCTTTTTTTTCTTTTGTGTTGTAGTCCCTGTTTCTTGGATCCTGTGTCTTCCCCTTTCATGTGTTGTTTGGTTTTGGTTTGTTTTTTTGCTTTTTCAGATGAGATCCCTCTATTTCCCAGACTGGCCTTATACTAATTATTCCCCTGCCTCAGTTTCCCAAGTTGCTGGGTCTACACTACTTTATTTTTTACTCTGATGACATATTCTTTAGTAGCTTCCTAAGAAACAATTTATGGGGGGCTGGGGCTGTAGCTTAGTGGTGGAGCTCTTACCTAGCATGTGTGAGGCACTGGGTTTAATGCTTAGCACCACATAAAAATAAATAAATAAAGGTATTGTGTCCATTCACAACTAAAATATTAAAAACAAAACCCCAAAACAGTGCATGGTCAATAAATGAGATTTTGCAAATATAAAAGAGAAATCTTACTGGATATTGTGGTATTGCCTATAATCCCAGCAGCTCAGGAGGCTGAGGCAGGAGGATCACAAATTCAAAGCCAGTCTTACCAACTTAGCGAGGCCCTAAACAACTTATAAAGATCCTCTCAATAAAAAAGGCTGAGAGGGATGTGGTTCTGTGGTTAAGCACCCCTAGGTTCAATCCCCAGTACTCAAAGAAAAAAATAAATCATCTTTTATTCTCCTACTTCATTTATAATTTTCTCAGGAATACAATTCTGGGCCAGATTTACTTTTTCCTCAATTAAAACCATTGTTCTGAAGCTGGGGATATACCTCAGTGGTATAGTACTTGCCTAGCATATGTGAGGCCCTGGGTTCAATCCCTAGTATGGGGTGGGGGGAAGTACTGCTCCACTTGGCATGCTAGTGCATACCTGTAAACCCAGTCACCTATCTCAAAAAATAAAAGGGCTGTGTAGCTCTGTGGTAGAATATCCCTGGATTCAGTCCCCAGTACAAAAAGTACTTCTTCATTCTGATTTTTATTTTTGTCGTGCTGGGGATTTAAACCAGAGTCTTGTGCACGCAAGGCAAGCACTCTGCCAACTGAGCTTTATCCCCAGCCCAACTGAACTTATCCCCAGCTTTGAGTGAAAACTGTTTGATCATCCATTCTTCCTTCCTTCCTTTTTTCCTTGCCTTCCCTCCCTCCTTCCTACCTTTTTATCTTTCTTTCTTTCCTGTCTTTCCTTGGGATTGAACAAGGTATTCAGGTGCTGAGCATGTGCTCTGTCACTAAACTATGCTTCTGGGTTGTTCTTTCTGTCTTGGTGCTCATAGGATAATTTTTTAAAATATGTTTTAAAATTGTTGATGGACTTTTATTTTCACTTATTTGTATGTGGTGCTGAGAATCAAACCCAGTGCCTCACACATGCTAGGCAAGCGCACTACCGCTGAGCCACAACCCCAACCAGGATAATTTTTTTCAATCCCAGAATTCTAAAATTTCACTTTGAGAGCCTTGAATGATTGATTTGAGAGTTTGAGGCTTAAATTTACAGGAATTGACACATTCAAAAATTAATTATTGAATGAGCAGGTACTAATGGAGGTTAATGTAAGTTAGGAGTTATGGGAATTTTATGAAGCTTTCTTTATAATGATTCTCATGCTTAATTTTACAGAATCCGGAAGATAAAAGAATTTGATGCTAATTTTAAAACAAAGGACTTCCCTGAAAAAGCTAAGGATATTTTCATAGAAGCTCACCTTTGTCTAAACAAGTAAGTGAACTCCCTATCTTGTATGTGTTTGTTCTCAATAGCTATTATCCTAGGCACATTTTTTTTAAATATATATTTTTAGATTTTGATGGACCTTTATTTTTATTCACTTATTTATATACAGTGCTAAGAATGGAACCCAATGCCTCACATGCTAGGCATGTACTCTACCACTGAGCCACAACACAGCCCCAAGGCACAGTTTTCTGCACATATTTATTTCCTTTTCCTTCAAATAAGAGTTCTAGAGTGAGGGGCTGGGATTGTAGCTCAGTGGTACAGTGTTTGCCTGGCATGTGTGAGGCACTGGATTCCATTCTTAGCACCATATATAAATAAACAAATAAAATAAAGGTCCATCAACAATTTAAAAAAAAAGAGTTTTGGGGCTGGGGTTGTGGCTCAGTGGTAGAGAGCTCACCTAGCATGTGTGAGGCCGTGGGTTCGATCCTCAGCACCATATATAAATAAACATATTGTGTCTAACTACAACTAAAAAATAAATATTAAAAAAAAAAAAGAGTTCTTTGAGAGAACTTGCAATGTGGAAAGTAATTAGTGACTGAAGTGATGTTTTGCTTCTCTCCCTGCTTGTAGGAGTTTTTACCATTTGGTCTGCCTCAGTTTTACCTGCAAGTGTTGGGACTATGCTGGAATGGCTTAAATCATCCTGATCTTTTTTGTACATTTGTCTTATGTATGTACATTTTCTTTTCCTTATTTTGAATTAGTTACTTTTGAAAATTTCCAGCTTTTTAAATTTTATTCAACCAAGGACATTTTAACTTTTTTTCAACCAAGGGCATTTTAACTTTTTTTTTTTTTTTTTTTTTTGGTGGGGCTTAGACAGCCTAACTTTCTTTTTTTTTTTTTTTTTTTTTTTTTTTTGGTGGTGCTAGGGATTGAACCCAGAGGCACTTGACTACTGAGCTATATTCCCCAGCACTTTTTATTT